GGTTTAGGGTTTAGGGTTGGGAAGGAGGTGCTGAGGAGGATCGAGGGATAAGCATCGTGCTGATGTGCGCTTTTATATGTGCATGTCTAAGCTTGCCTCTGTGTCCCTCGGTCTCGTTTTCTCTATACAAGAATACGACGTTTCTTTGTTCTCAACATCTAAGAATCTATCGGAAGAGGTCAACTGTGGGAATTGTGGGGCTAGGGTTCAGGGTTTAGGGTTTAGGGATTCCTGACTCAAACCCAAATCGCCCAGTGCGCATTAGAGAAGCACGAGACCCTAAAGCCCAGGCTTCTAAGACCTCAAAGTGCTAAGAACCCTAAAGTCAAAACCCGAGACTCCGAGGACCCTACACCCTAAACCCCAAACCACAAGGACCCTCAACTCTGAACCCGATGTCTCGAAAGACCCTAAACCTGTCCCTAAACCCCGTACCCTAACCCCCGAAACAAATTCTAATTCTAAACCCCGAAAGATCCCTTGAAAGAGCCCTTATGGATCCCTTAAGGGAGCCTTCAGATCCATTACAGGAGCCGTTACAGAAGAACCTCACACACTAAACCCTGAACCCTTAAAGGAACCCATAAGCTTGGCAGTTTCCGGCGCGACGCCCTTCTGCATGGATCGCTCACTGCTCCGGCTGGCCTACAAAGTGGAGGCTGTGTGACCAACATCCTGTAAAGGATGGGTGTCGTAGACTTCTAAGATAGAGATCGGACAAATCAAGAATAGTATCCCCTGCTGGTCCCCACTTAGTTTCAGCATGAGCCCCAAACCCTATTTCGTTACAGTACAGCATGCCCAATTATTCCGGCCCCGAGGTTAAGCCCTGAACTTCCAGAAATCGCCCACGTTTGCAACCTCCCGAAACTTTCAGAGACTTAAAGCCTTCAGCGTGGGCACATGCAGACAGAATCACGAAGCTCTGGTGTTACGAGGTCCGGCTATTGTCCAGGTTGTCGCTGGCACACGCCATGACATCGACCTACCTACCTGCGGCTGCGAATAGAGATGCAAACGCATCCACTGCACGCACATACCCACAGAACAGGCGTATGTGCATATATATATATATATGTACAGATATACACACAAAATCCGTACATGCCTATGTCTCTGTGTATATGTGCATATGTACATGTGTATATATGTGTGTGCACATCTGTTTGTACATATTACGTATATGTGTGTATATGTTTGTAGGAGCTTAAGACTCTTTCTATATGTCTACATTTATATGTGTGTATATTGTACAAATGTGTTTTGTCTAGTGTGTGTTGTACATATGTATATGCATGTTTGTATGCATGTATGTAGGTATGCATATATGTGTGTATGTCTGTGTGTACATATGTATGCCCGCATGCATCCATGCATCCGTGTATGCGTATGTGTATGCATGTACGTACGCCAGCCATGCATACGCATCTGTATATACAAGTATACAGGCATGCATGTATGTATGTATGTATGTATGTATGTATGTATGTATGCAGTGTAACGTATTGTATTGTGTTGTGTTGTATTGTGATGTGATGTAATGTAATGTAATGTAATGTAATGTAATGTAATGTAACGTAATTTAATGTAATGTAATGTAATGTAATGGAACGTAATGTAATGTAATGTAATGTAATGTAATGTAATGTAATGTAATTTAATGTGTATGTATGTATGTATGTATGTAGGTATGTATGTATGTACGTATGTATGTATGTATGTATGTATGTATGTATGTATGTAAGTAGGTATGCATGCATGCATGCATGGATGTATGTATGTATGTATGTATGTATGTATGTACCGTACGTAATGCATCCAACGTATGTCATGT